AATAATAGTAGGGGACTTCTAACATGCCACTTTACCAATGGACAGATCATCCTAAAATGAAACTAAATAAGGAAGCACAAGCTTTAAATGACACATTAAACAAGATGGACTTAATTGATATTTATAGGACATTCCATCCAGAAACAACAGAATACACTTTCTTCTCAAGTGCTCATGGAACATTCTCAAAGAGAGACCATATCTTGGGTCACAAACCAAGCCTTGGTAAATTTAAGAAAAGTGAAATCATATCAAGTATCTTTTCTGACCACAAAATTGTGAGACTAGATATCGATTACAGGAAAAAAAAACTGTAAAAAATACAAACATATGGAGGCTCAACAACATGCTACTAAATAACCAAGGAATCACTGAAGAAATCAGAGAGGAAATCAAAAAATACCTAGAAACAAATGACAAAGAAAACACAAAGACCCAAAACCTATGGGATGCAGCAAAAGCAGTTCTAAGAGGGAAGTTTATAGCAATAAAATCTTACCTCAAGAAACAAGAAAAATCTCATAAGCAACCTAACCTTACACCTAAAGCAATTACAGAAAGAAGAACAAAAATACCCCCAAAGTAAGCAGAAGGAAAGAAATCATAAAGATCAGATCAGAAATAAATGAAAATGAAATGAAGGAAACGATAGCAAAGATCAATAAAATTAAAAGCTGGTTCTTTGAGAAGATAAATGATAAACCATTAGCCAGACTCATCAAGAAAAAAAGGGAGAAGACTCAAATCAACAGAAGTAGAAATGAAAAAGGAGAAGTAACAACTGACACTGCAGAAATACAAAGGATCATGAGAGATTACTACAAGCAACTGTAGGCCAATAAAATGGACAACCTGGAAGAAATGGACAAATTCTCAAAAAGCACAACCTTCCGAGAAAGAACCAGGAAGAAATAGAAAATATAAAGAGACCAATCACAAGCACTGAAATTGAAACTGTGATTAAAAATCTTCCAACAAACAACAGCCCACCTATCCTTCTCAAACTCTTCCAAAATATAGCAGAGGGAGGAACACTCTGAAACTCATTCTACGAGGCCACTATCACCCTGATACCAAAACCAGACAAAGATGTCACAAAAAAAGAAAACTACAGGCAAATATCTCTGATGAACACAGATGCAAAAATCCTCAACAAAATACTAGCAAACAGAATCCAAACACAGATTAAAAGGATCATACACCATGATTTAGTGAGGTTTATCCCATGAATCCAAGGATTCTTCAATATATGCAAATCAGTCAATGTGATACACCATATTAACAAAGTGAAGGATAAAAACCACATGATCATCTCAGCAGAGGCAGAAAAAGCTTTTGATAAAATTCAACACCCATTTATAATAAAGTCTCCAGAAAGTAGGCATAGAGGGAAACTACCGCAACATAATAAAGGCCACATATGACAAACTCACAGCCAACATCGTTCTCAGTGGTGAAAAACTGAAACCATTTCCTCTAAGATCAGGAACAAGACAAGGTTGCCCACTCTCACCACTATTACTCAACATAGTTTGGAAGTCTTAGTCACAGCAATCAGAGAAGAAAAAGAAATAAAAGGAATACAAATCGGAAAAGAGGTAAAGCTGTCACTGTTTGCAGATGACATGATACTATACATAGAGAATCCTAAAGATGCTACCAGAAAACTACTAGAGCTAATCAATGAATTTGGTAGAGTAGCAGGATACAAAATTAATGTACAGAAATCTCTTGCATTTCTATACACTAATGATGAAAAACCTGAAAGAGAAATTAAGGAAACACTCCCACTTATCACTGCAACAAAAAGAATAAAATACCTAGGAATAAACCTACCTAAGGAGACAAAAGACCTGTATGCAGAAAATTATAAGACACTGATGAAAGAAATTAAAGATGATACAAACAGATGGAGAGATATACCATGTTCTTGGATTGGAAGAATCAACATTGTGAAAATGACTCTACTACCCAAAGCAATCTATAGATTCAATGCAATCCCTATCAAACTACCACTGGCATTTTTCACAGAACTAGAACAAAAAATTTCACAATTTGTATGGAAACACAAAAGACCCCGAATAGCCAAAGCAATCTTGAGAACAAAAAATGGAGCTGGAGGAATCAGGCTGCCTGACTTCAGACTATACTACAAAGCTACAGTAATCAAGACAGTATGGTACTGGCACAAAAACAGAAAGATAGATCAATGGAATAGGATAGAAAGCCCAGAGATAAACCCATGCACATATGGTCACCTTATCTTTGATAAAGGTGGCAGGAATATACAGTGGAGAAAGGACAGCCTCTTCAATAAGTGGTGCTGGGAAAATTGGACAGGTACATGTAAAAGTATGAGATTAGATCACTCCCTAACACCATACACAAAAATAAGCTCAAAATGGATTAAAGACCTAAATGTAAGGCCAGAAACTATCAAACTCTTAGAGGAAAACATAGGCAGAACACTCTATGACATAAATCACAGCAAGATCCTTCACCCACCTCCTAGAGAAATGGAAATAAAAACAAAAATAAACAAATGGGACCTAACGAAACTTAAAAGCTTTTCACAGCAAAGGAAACCATAAATGAGACAAAAAGACAACCCTCAGAATGGGAGAAAATATTTGCAAATGAAGCAACTGACAAAGGATTAATCTCCAAAATATACAAACAGCTCATGCAGCTCAGTATCAAAAAAACAAACAACCCATCAAAAAATTGGGTGTAAGACCTAAACAGACATTTCTCCAAAGAAGACACATGGATGGCCAACAAACACATGAAAAGATGCTCAACATCACTAATTATCAGAGAAATGCAAAACTACAATGAGGTATCACCTCACACTGGTCAGAATGGCCATCAAAAAATCTACAAACAATAAATGTTGGAGAGGGTGTGGAGAAAAGGGAATCCTCATGCACTGTTGGTGGGAATGTAAACTGATACAGCCACCATGGAAAACAGTATGGAGGTTTCTTAAAAAACTAAAAATAGAACTACCATATGACCCAGCCATCCCACTACTGAGCATATACCCAGAGAAAACCATAATTCAAAAAGACACATGCACCCCAATGTTCACAGCAGCACTATTTACAATAGCCAGGACATGGAAGCAACCTACACGTCCATCAACAGAGGAATGGATAAAGAAGATGTGGTACATACATACAATGGAATATTACTCAGCCATAAAAAGGAACGAAATTGGGTCATTTGTAGAGACATGGATGGACCTAGAGAGTGTCATACAGAGTGAAGTAAGTCAGAAAGAGAAAAACAAATATCATATATTAACGCATATATGTGGAATCTAGAAAAATGGTGTAGATGATTTCATATGCATAGCAGAAATAGAGACACAGACGTAGAGAACAAATGTATGGATATCAATGGGGAAAGGGGGGATGGGAGGAATTGGGAGATTGGGATTGACACTATACACTATGATACTACGTATTAAATAGACAACTAATGAGAACATACTGTATAGAACAGAGAACTCTACTTAATGCACTGTGGTGACCTAAATGAGAAGGAAATCTAAAAAAGAGGGGATATACGTATATGTATAGCTGATTCATTTTGCTGTACAGTAGAAACTAACACAACATTGTAAAGCAACTGTACTCCAGTAAAAATTAATTAAAAAAAAAAAGGGCTTAAAGACCCAGATGTAAGACCATATACTATAAAATTCTTAGAGGTAATCACTTTGACATAAATTGTGCAAGATCTTTTTGGATCTACCTCCTAGAGTAATGAAAATAAAAACAAAAATAAACACATGGGATCTAATTATTAATTTCCAAAATATTACAAACAGCTCATGCAGCTCAACATCAAAAAAACACACAACCCAATCAAAAAATGGGCATAAGACCTAAATAGACATTTCTTCAAAGAAGATATATAGATGGTCAAAAAGCTCATGAAAAGATGCTTAAGATCGCTAATTATTAGAAAAATGCAAATCGAAACTACAATGAGGTATCACCTTACACCAGTCAGAATGGCCATCATTAAAAAGTGTACAAACAATAAATGCTGGAGAGGGTTTGGAGAAAAGGGAATCTTCCTACACTGTTGGTGGGAATGTAAATTGGTACAACCACTATGGAGAACAGTATGGAGGTTCCTTAAAAATCTAAAAATAGAGGTACCATAGGATCCAGCAATCCCACTCCTGGGCACATATCTGGAGAAAACCATAATTCGAAAAGATACATTCACCCCAAAGGTCACAGGAGGGCAATTTACAACAGCCAAGACATGGAAGCAACCTAAATGCTCACTGACACATGAATGGACAAAGAAGATGTGGTACATACAGTGGAATATTATTCAGCCACAAAAAGGAATAAAATAATGCCATTTGCAATAATATGGATGGACCTAGAGGTTATCATATTAAGTGAAGTAATTCAGACAGAGAATGACAAATATCACATGATATCACTTATATGTGGAATCTAAAAAAATGATACAAATGAACTTACAAAACAGAAACAGACTCACAGACATAGAAAACAAACTTATGGTTACCAAAGGGGAAAGGTGGGAGAGAGGGATAAATGAGGAGTTTGGGATTAACATATACACACGACTATATATATATTTTAAAAGTGACATAAGAACTGAGAGTAAAGACTATAAGGATTTATGGTAAGAGGCAAATGAAATGTACAGAATACTCATAGCCACTAGTCACTTCCTTTTCCTTGACATAGATGGTTCTAATACCCTGGTTTTCTCTCTTATTCTTGTATTTGTTTTGAGCATTTGGGAAATCTTTTTAACATTTTATTAATTACGAAGCTCTCAAAATGGATGAAGACATATACAAACCATATTCTTTCAGATTCTCATCATTTATTGGTAAGTATAAGCTATGAAAAATAATTCTGTAAATAAGCTTAACAAGCAGCCAAATTTTCTATTAACACCACCACCAAGAATAACACAAATTAAAGCAGATTACTTTCAAATACCTGGCAGCTGTGATCAGTATCCAATCCATCCCAGAGACTCATAAACTGAGCTTTCATCATGGCTGTAGCTTCATGGTCAGAACTTGAACGGTTTCGTAGAAAGGAGTCTAGAAGAAAAAAATCCTTAACCTTACAAATCAGTAATAAATTACTCTTTACATAATTTCAAACCGTTAATTAAAAGCTGACAATTTTATGAAAGATTACAAAGAAAAGGGTTCGAATATGCCTTTTCATACATTATTCTGATATAACTACTTTGACAAATTATCCAGCAAATTAAAACAATCAATTCACAATCCTCATTTCTTTCCTAAAAATACATTCATACGAACATATATAAAAGAAGTAAAGGATCTAGTGCTGAGAGGCTAAAAAAGGATCACGTAGTGTCTTAGAGCAAAAGTCTGTGTGCTTTGGCCCTAACTTTCCAGGTTCTCTGCATCCTATGTGTTCTTAATTATGGGATCACATCCTTTTTCCTCATACACTTTTCCTGGTAATAAATAAAAATGATACTGGAAAATCTCAAAACACTATTAAGTGGGAAAATATAGGACAGGAAATGGTTTAAAACATACATGCTGGCATGCATGTACATATATGTTATACAGGGTAAAAAAACCTTTAATGAAATACACCAAAATGCTAATAACTTTGGTTATCTCTCAGTGATACTGATGGACAATTTTAATTTTCTCTTGAATTCTTTTCTATCTTCCAAATTATCTATAATGAACATGAAATACTTTTAGGAGGGGGAAAATTTTTTCCTTCTAGAACGAAAGGACTGAAAGGTGGTATATCCTAAGAACAAAAAAAGACAATAAAAACAAATCCTATATTTTCCCGTACAATCCTGTTTCAAATGTTTTGTCTTGTATCCCTTCAAATCACTGGCATTTCTCAATAACTTTCACATTTCAACATTAAAACTAAAACTTGAAGTCTGTCAATCATACATGCAAGTGACATGAAAATGCTTTTTAATGTGCTGGGTCCAAGCTTTAATATTAAAAACAACAACAGGAAAAAACAAATAACATACAAGGGAATCCCCATAAGGTAATGAGCTGATTTTTCAGCAAAAACTCTGTAGGCCAGAATGGAGTGGAGTGGTGTGATATATTTAAAGTGATGAAAGGAAAAAACCTACAACCAAGAATACTCTACCCAGCAAGACTCTCATTCGATTTGACAGAAAGATCAAAAGCTTTATGGACACTCAAAAGCTAAGAGAATTCAGCATCACCAAACCAGCTTTACAACAAATGCTAAAGGCCACAACTGGAAACAAGAAAATTATGAATGGAAGCTCACTGGTAAAGGCAAACATACAGTAAAGGTAGAAAGTCATCCACATGCGGATATGATATCAAAACCAGCAACTGTGAGGAGAGTACAAAAGCACGATACTGTAAATGCATTTGAACTTGAGACCAGCAACTTAAAACAATCATATATATATATATATATATATATATATATATAGACTGGTATATCAGACTGGTATATCAAAACCTCATGGTAACTGCAAACCAAAAACCGACAATAGATATACATACAAAAAAAGAAAAAGGAATCCAAACACAGCACTAAACATAGTCATCAAATCGCAAGAGAACAAAAGAGGAAAACTACAAAAACAAATCCAAAACAATTAACCCAATGGCAATAAGAACATTCATATCAATAATTACCTTAAATGTAAACGTATTAAATGCTCCAACCAAAAGACATAGGCTGGCTGAACGATCCAAAACAAAGACCCACATATATACTGTCTACAAGAGACCCACTGCAGATCGAGGGACACATAGACTGAAAGTGAGAGAATGGAAAAAGATATCCCATGCAAATTGAAATCAAAAGAAAGCTGGAGGGCTTCCCTGGTGGAGCAGTGGTTGAGAGTCTGCCTGCCAATGCAGGGGACATGGGTTCACGCCCTGGTCTGGGAGGATCCACATGCCAATGCAGGGGACATGGGTTCACGCCCTGGTCTGGGAGGATCCACATTCAGTAAGAAGGAAATTAAATCCAGAAAAGGCAGGTGCAAGAAGTAATAGTGAGCAAAATAACTGGCAAAGTGGATCTCTAAACAAGCACTGCCAGTATAAAAATAGCAACTAATATGGAAAAGTAAAAAACAAGAGAAACTGTTAACAAAAACATATAAGAGATGAGAGGAATGATTAGTATCCAAGAGTTCTAAGGTCCCTGTATTATTTGGGAAGATGCGAGAAATAATTAGCTTAGACTTTTAAGACAAGTAGCTATGCTAAATGTATGCTAAAAGAAAAAGAATACAGTTGACCCTTGAAGAAGGTACGAGTTATGGGCGCTGAGCCTTTCCATAGTCCAAAATCCACATATAATTTACAGTTGGCCCTCTATATACACGGTTCCTCCGTAGATGCAGCTCATGTGGTGATAAGAGTTTTTACTGTTGAGAAAAATCCACGTATAAGTGGACCCATTCAAACCTGTTGTTCAAGGGTCAACTGTACGTAACTTCTAAACCTGTGTGAGGGAAAAGGGAATAAAAAAAATGCAAAAGTCCACTAGATTGGTAAATACCCATAAAAAGCACACAGTTATGTGGTAGAAATAAATCTAAATATATCAGCTATTAAAATGAAAGCAAACTGACCACAGTTCCTGGTTAAAGAGCCTTAGATTAAAAGTTTTAAAAATCCAGCTATATGCTCCTTTGTGCAAAAGTCAAAGCAAAAATCCAAAATAAATGGAATAAATTGGTGAGAAAGATACACAAGGCAAACAAGTAACCAAAATACTTTATATCTATACCTATCTTTCTCTCTATATATTTCTATATAGCTTATCATATTACATATAATTATAATAGTAAATTTATTCAAAGCTACAGTTTTAATTACTGTAGCTTTATTATAATATATAAATTATAATAAAAATATAGATGATCCATAAAATAGAGAAAAAGCCCACTAATATAAAAGTCATGACATACAGAGAAAGATGATCTATTTATAAGTTGACTGTCCATATGGCAAGGAATTAAACGAGATTCCTACTTCACGTTATATATTTTAAAAAGGAGAGTATTTATGGAGGTAGTGAAGGGATTTGTAAACCAGACACAAGAAGTATAAGCCATAAAGGAAAAAAACTGATAAATTTTTTTTATAAATGTAACTATTTTTTTAATATTTTTTATAAATGTAACTACATTTAAATTTAAATCTCCATAAAAGAAACTATCATAAAGTGAAAAGATAAGCCAGTCTAGAAAATATTTGCAATCATAATAAAACATCATCAAAGAATTACTAAGAAAACTGCAAATAACCCCAAAGAAAAACTGGCAATTTACAAGCAAGGAAACCTAAATGGCTAGTCAACATGTTAAAAGATGCACAAATTTACTAGTAAGCAGGGAAACACAAAACAATGATGAGATAATTTTTGCTCTTTAAGTTGACAAAAATTAATGATACTGCCTGAAAAGATAAGTTTTGGGGGAGTATGTAGGGAAAGCTGGTAATCCTAGTGAGGTTGAAGATGGACACATCACACAACCTAACGGTTCAACTTCTAGGTATCTACCCTGGACAAACATATGCATGAGGAAACATGTATACGAAAGCCCACTGCATACTGTTTAAAAACATAGCATACCTATTTCGTCTATAAAGATGATGGAAGGCTGTAGCTTTATGGCAAGGGAGAAAACAGCAGCAGCCAGTTTCTGAGATTCTCCATACCACTTATCTGTCAGTGTTGAAGGCTGAAGGTTAATAAATCGACAACCTGCTTCTTTGGCTGTAGCCTTGGCAATCAACGTTTTACCACAGCCTGGAGGCCCATAGAGAAGTACACCTGGAAATTAACATGTTATTTTATTATTTCCTTTAAGAGAAAGAGATATTTGCTAGTTTATGGGAAAATCAACATAGTATTAATTCTGTCCACACGAAACTTTTTCGCAATATTCACTTCCATTTTTATTAATCTTTTCTTATAGTAGAAAGGAAGGTGCTATATTCTAAGTTTGTGTCAGTGATGACATGTATTTGGGATTATAGCACCCTTGTGCTTTCTCCCTTCATGAAATGGTCCAGTTCAGGATATTAAAGACAATCATCTTGACATCCAAACTCACACCTCTTGATCAATGGTTGACAAATAAAATCCGTCTAATGCCCTTCCCCTTCACGAGCTAAGAGCCCTATAACACAATGACAACAGCCCAGAGAAAATGAACAACTTCAAAATAGACTGTAGAAAACACTGTTTTGCTATTGCTCAGAGACTTGAGATAATGATCTTTTCTTAAAAAGAAATCACCTGTCACTCCTGTTTTAATTTCCTAGGAATAAAAACTATATTATTAACCTAGAGTCTCCACTGACAGCAATTTGCTGCTAAATGCAATTTAAGGTAAGTCTTTTAATATATAAAAGATCTAAACAGGCTGAGGTCTTGAGAAATTTGGGGAATCATCACCAACTGTTTTTCATCTAAAATGAGGTAGCATTTTCTAAGTTAATATAATACTAAAATTATGGCCCTGACTACAGATCATTTACAGACAGGGCTGACAAAAATCATCATCTGCAAACTTCTTTAAATATTTCCTTAATCTAGAGCTTCTCGACTTTTCTCATGTAATAGCACTTAAAGAATGACAATATTGAGAATTCCCTGGCGGTCCAGTCGTTAGGACTCAGTGCTTTACTGCTGGGGCCTGGGTTCCATCCCTGGTTGGGGAGTTAAGATCCCACACACCATGACCAAATAAATAAATACAATTTAGGCAGCATGCTGGGGTAAAATGGAGAGAATTTGGAGTTATACAAAATATTCCTATTATGTAATAAAAATAAAAAACAAAGTATGAGGGAAGAAAAGTAAGTATTTTATATAAACCTCCCCCCGCCAAACTTACATTTTTTTAAAAATGAGAAACTTGAGCTTGGTTCTATAACCTACCAAATTCTTTTTGTGCCAAACATTTCAAAATAATGTTCAAACTCCTCCTCAAGCACACATAGATTTTTCTAGTGGTTTTAATAATTCTTCAAGATTCAACTAACTCATGTTTAATCATTTTAAATTAAACCCTTCTAAAGCTGATTTAAAAATTTAAATCCATAAGCACTGCCAGTATATGTTAATTTTGTCAAGCAGTCCTTGCATTTTTTAATTACATTCATTTAGGTACTAAAAGTTCAGTTAAGTCAGTTAAATTTGAACCTTCTACTGACACTTTTAGATGGCATGTGAACAATACAGAATATAGTCTAATGCCATCAAATTCAAGTGAAGCTGAAAACATATGGGATAACATATGGAATTATTACATTTTTTATTTTGATCATATAATTTAATATGGAATGCAGGTCTACTAGCAAACTTTTAATATGTATTACTTGAATCTTGGGTTTTTAGAAATAATGATGCAAAAGTCTTCATATTTTGTTGACTTTGCAGCTATACCATCACTTCATAAACACACGGAATACTCTCAAACTGTCAGATTTGTTTCAAAGTATTCATTTATCAGTTTGAATTTTTTATTCCTAATAGTTTAGTTTTGGTACCTCCTAGTAGGATTAAGTTTTTCTAGTTATTTCAGGGATTATAATTAGTATTATTAATTGAGCAGTTATTTACTAATGTCTAAAGATTTAACATGCAATGAAAACTTTTGGATTTCATAATCTTCTGGAGGATGGAGCTGTGACAGATAAGGTTCACATGAGGAACAATCAATGCTCACTTCTTGACCTGGGTGGTAATTACATGAATGTTAGCTTTAAAATTATTTATTCAACTGTTTAATCCCCATTTCTGTATGTATCTTAAGCTTCACTAAGATTCATGTTGTCCCATCTGATACTTTATCAGTGAGTACAGCAATAATATTATTTGAAAATGGCACGTTTTCTATATCCTTTGTTGAAGTGGAGTCCACCATGTTAATATTTATGAAGATCAACGAGTGGTTCTGCAAATGCATGTGAGGCATTTAGCTTTAATTATTAGTTTTATAACATTTTAACTCGTTTTTAAAACTTAGTCTGATACTTTTACAACCATTTTCAACAGAATTAAAAATGTGTTTATTATTTTGTGCTTTGAAGAGACTTAAAAATTCAAACCCCTTTTTAAGATGGATGTTTTTGACAAAGGCTTTACTTCCTAAGTACTGCATGCAAATAAAGATTTAGGATGAGGAAGAAAAGAAGTATTGGGACAAACAAATCCAAATTTGGGATAATCCTCATTAGTGAAAAATATATTATCTTATTAGTGACCAACTTTTCTTTCTTCCTTTTTCGGACTAGTTTATTTACTTTCAAGGTTTAATAAAAAATTTGTCCAAATGGTAGAAAAATAAATATCTGTAAAACTACTTAAATACAGAGTACTGGGGGGAGGGGGGGGAGTTATAGGCCTTTATGACCACAGAAAGTCCATCTTTCAAAACATATATTTCTTATCTACATTTTAAAGAATGCATCAAAACATGGAGTATGATGACATTCACAAACATAAAAGTTATGTGCCAAAATAATGATTACTGAATTCAGATTTTATAGAAGGACCATACAGCATTCAAATGGATTTTTTTTTTTAATTTTTTTTTTTTTTTAATATTTATTTGGCTGTGCCGGGGCTCTTAGTTGTGGCAGGCGGGATCTAGTTCCCTGATCAGGGTTCGAACCCAGGCCCCCTGCATTGGGAGCATGGGGTCTTAACCACTGGACCACCAGGGAAGTCCCTCAAATGGAATTTTAACTATTGTAAATTTTTAAATGTTTGGGGGGAAGAAAGGGTTACATTTTTTAATGCAACCATCAGTATTTTATGGCATGTTCTTGTAACCAGTGACACCATATCTTTATACGTTATTAAGTATGATTATCATGTGTCACACATTCATGACATAACAAATCATTCTCAAATTAACTTTCTATAGTCTGTGAGGCAGTGATCAATTTCAGCTTAGACAGCAATGAACTAAGGAAAACATAAAATTGGCAATAAAGCAATGAGTCTAACCTACATAACCTATTTCCAGTTCCCAAATGGAACAAGTATGGTACGCAACTGATTGTATACTCTGCTTCTGTACACCAATATCCAATTTATGTTGGGGGTCAAAAAGTAAATCAATGATTTTTCAAACTTTTGTTCTTGGTAAAAAATTTTCCAAAAATGCAAAGCTGAAAAAGCTCAAATAGTAAAACTTTAGATCACATAATAAGGAAATACTCATGTAACTTAAAAAAAAATTTAAATACACATAGGAACCACCTTCAGTTTTAGATAATGCTTGTAAATAAAAAGCAGATTTACATAAGGCTGTTAAAGTACTCCCTCATAATTTGGCATCTGCTATGCTAATTGGGGCTTTAAACCAAGTCCAACTGGTGAAGTCACCCAGTTACCTGGCCTAAGCCATCACTGATGAGAAAAGCTTTCTCTAACAGCATAAAAAAATTTCCTAAATTCATTAACATTGTGAAAATGAGACATAAAAACTGACAAAAGTTCTTTCTTGTTCACACTATAAACAACCTGCAAGAGGGTACTGAAGAACTTAGTAATCCAACATTTGCCTTACTCTTGATCTGGGCTCAGATAAATCATTTGTAATTTTCTTTGGGGAAAAAAAAATTCTTTTTAAATCACAAGAGAGTAAATGCTTCTTGTTAGAAAAAAAGTAGCTTTGTTGTTTCAGAAAGTAAAATACATAAAAAACAGATTTGTTGTTTTAGTTAACAAAAAGAGAATGCCATTTTTGGTGGTAACTGTCAGCCTCTATTTACCAGAAACAAAAATTTTCTGCTTCATAAAAATGTACAGTTATTGGCTTCAATTACCTTTGAAATATAAATTAATGCACTTTTTGATATAGCTGCAAAGTTAGTAAGATTATAAACTACAACTTATACATGTTATTTTGATATTTCTAAAGATCCTTTTCTGAGAAATGCATTTGTCTAATAATTTGATTTCAGTCTTGACTAGCAACCTCTCTAGTTTTGGCAATACAATAAAGAGAAGCTTCTACTAAATAAGCTACACTACAGCGTTTGTATTTGAAAGCCATGGCAACACACTTCTACAGATCTCACTGTCAATTATCATGTAAGCTACATTTGAATCTCCTTTAACAAGTCTTAAACATGATCAATATATGAATGGCCAATAATAAAAGTATTATATTTAAGGATGTAGTTATAAATACTTTCAATTCTTGAGTTCCAAGGCTTTTGAAGTAATCACTAACTAGGAATAAGAAAATGTTTCCCTTAAAAATAAGTAGTATTTAATTTCTAGTTCATCTGTAGTTCACTATTTCCTTAAAAACAAAACCAAACAAAAAACTACCACTGCAATCTAAAATAAAATTACCAAGAGGAAAAAAAATCACTAGTATCATGAAACAACCAGAAGTCTTATCTTGAAGACAAAAACCGATACTGTTACTTTGAATTTTTTTATCCTCTATTTCCCTAATTTCATTTTCTTATAAGTAATAAAAATGAATTTGAAATAAAGGGATTATTTTGATATGTAACTATGGGGAAAAACTTTACCTAAATTTGGAAGCTGAAGAATAAGCAATTATTTTAAAATCATTATTTATAAAACAGTTCACTGGATCTCAGCAGTCTCTTGAAAACCCAACTTCAAAAACACCAGTTCTATAATGGCAGAAAGTTTCCATGTTTTCCAGATTTTTAATGCTTTAGCAAATATAAACTTTTACCATACCTTTTGGAGGCTGCAAAAGCCTGGAATTTTCAAACAAATGCTTCTTTTTGATAGGTAAGATGACTGTGTCTTTCAGATCCGTAATGACATCATCCAAACCTGCTATATCACTCCAAGTAACCTGGTAAAAGTTAAGGTCAGCAGGAAGTTTTACAGCTAATGTATATTCAACCGAAGTAAAAAAGAATCCCCCCAAATCGCAAGCCTTAATTATACCTAAATAGTAAAATATAATCATACCTAAATAATAAAAGTTTAAAATGATATATTAATATAAGTACTTTCAAGCAATACTGAAATTATTAAACTACCATGAGCTGAAATTTAATAGTCAACTACCTATTCAAAAAAAAAAAAGGCCCTAGGTCCAAACTCAAAACTCTGAGTTTTGGGATCTAATAAGCTGACCTCACTCCATTAAGATGAGGAAATACTCTGCCAAGAAGAATGAGAGCCAGCTCTGACAGACAGTTCGGCACTAGCTGAGTGGCCCAATTCACAGATGATGCTGTCAAACATAATAAGAATGAATTTAGAAATAAGGCTTATACTCACCAAACTGGGCTTCTGAATTTTACTAATTAAAAGTAAACTGTGTCAAAACTTGTCTTATATCTTTATAGAGAGTAAACGGGGATACATTTTTTCAAAACTGTTAACAGCTTGTGTATTTTAAAGCCTTCTGACTCAGCTTAAAAAAATTTTTGGGGGGGTGGGCACTGGATAAACTAACTGAAAAAGACCTGAAAAACAAACAAAAACAACCTAGCTTTAATTTGGAAGAGTAAAGGGGCTGGAGGTGGGGCTGTTTGGAAGCAATATTTACAACACATTTATTTTACATTAAAAAAAAAGTGAAAAAGCACAGCCAGATCTGATAAAATCATCACTGACTTTCACTTGTAGCTGTAACAAAGAACTGAGTTCATTTCAAATGGAGGATTAATTCTGGAAAGGCATGTATGTCTCTGTGCACACAGATATTAACAGACATTGTAGATTTTATTTCCTAGATTTGAAGATAAGGATATCGTATTTCACTCTATTTACACCTATTGTTACAAAATATTCACAGAGGATTTTAGAGTTTATAAATTACATTAATCTGATGCTCAAAATAATCCTTTAGAAGTAGGTAGAACAGGTATTACATTGTCCCTGGATTATACATGAGGGAACTGAAACTCAAAGAGAAAATAATTTACCAAGGCCATAAATTGAAAAACTGGGATTCAGAATCTTGTGTTGTCTATCATACCTTATTAAAAAATCTAGATTTGAACTCCAAGTCAAATATCCTCATGACTTAAAGCAGTAATTTTATATGCCACAAAGGTGAATATATAAAAGTACAGGTTTAACTAAACAAATGTGCACAAAAAAAGTTAACACAGCAGGCCCGAGACGATTATCCTTGGAAAGGCCTGCTTGCAAGGCTAGCCCCTGGCTGGAGTATGGGAGATACTTAGATTTCGGGAGAGTTTCCTCCATTTTCCTGATGAGAACAGCTCACTGTGCCTAAACTGTTTGTGCAAACAATATGGTTTATGGTGGATACCTGTTTTGCTTATGGGAGTCTAGAATTTTGATACATGTTAGGAAGATGTAGTCTATGTGACCAGTCCCAATTAAAACCCTGGGCCCTAAGTCTCTAATGAGCTTCTTTGGTAGATAGCATTTGACAGGTGTTCTCATAACCTGTTGCTGAAAGAATTAAGTGCACCCTGTGTGACTTCACTAGTAGACTCTTGGAAGCTGGTGCCTGACTTCCTCCAGACTTCATCCCATGCCCCTCTTTCTTTGCTAATTTTGCCTTGTATCCTTTTGTTGTAATAAATTATATCCAGGAGTATGACTACACTGAATCCTGTGATTCCTCCTAGAGAATCATCAAACCTGGTCATGGTCTTTGGGACTCTTGATACAAAATGCTAGACAAAAAAAATATTAAATAAGATTAAAGATACCTACATGCATGTTAAGAGGGTCTACTAGATGAGCAGCAATACTCATTTCATATTCTGAAAGCTTCACATTTTTCACACCGATTTGCTTCATTAATTTTTCTGCCTAGAAAGAAAAAACAAGCAACCTCCTTTAGTTTGATATTTAGACACTGGCACTACATAACACGTAACTGTGAAGTCTAAAGAGCAATGAACAGACATACAAGATTCTCCAGAGATATTCTATGCCACTTGTTTCATCCTTCCCCATTCTTAAGTCCTTAAGTAAAAAAAGATTTGAAGGTCTACTCTACAGAAACCAGGGCAATTTAAACCAGCTTTTGGGAAACGAGAAAATAGGGTACATGATTGAAGAGATATATACACGGCCTCTCATTGCTCCAATGAGATTCTAAGGTCCAACTTCATTTCTTTCCTAGCAGGATTATCATGACAGGTGAAAATGAGGCCTCAAGATGAAAGATTGAGGAGTTAAGGCTATCAAGAAATGGACAACTGGAGTTTCTTTCCTTCAATTGACAGAGTATCTGAAAACTGGTGCCCAACTGTCCTCAAATTACCCATATATCTACAAAAGGTGTTCAACCTAACTAATTTCAAATTGTTCTGAGATACTATCCTTTTTAAAGTCGATTCTTGGGGCTAGGCAACCAGAGATAATAAAAATAATTTTCAATTAGAAGTATACTTGCATATATTTTTAGAGCTGGGCAAAACTAGCCTTAAAGCTATAAGCTCTAGTAAAGCAACACAGCTTTCAAGTAAAATAAAAAGAATGTTAACATTATTAACATATAACAAGTAAAACATTCACTGAGTGTGCCAAATATTATGCCAAAATACTGTAGCTGGATTAACTCATTGAATCCTCAGAGAGATCCTGAGGTAGGTACAATTTCTCCCCAACACAGAAAAAGAAACTGAAGCGTAGCTCAGACTGTTATTTGTCTTCGGTTAAAAATTAGCAAATGTAAGAGGCAACATACGAATCCAGGCAGTCCCAACTCTAGAGCCTATACTCTAACCATCATATATATTACCTTGGTTTCCTCAGTTACATGACTGGAGTTTGTAGCAGCTAAAGAGTCTTTAAAAATCTAGAGATAATATATTCAAATTTCAATTAAGTGAACAGTTTTAGAAATGAAGGTGCTCTGGTAAATCATATTTACCTAAATTTTTGTTGTTACATTTTCCTAGAATACTTTTGATTATATATAATCTTGCTATTTGTCAGGGGTATTGCTACTCTTAAAAAAAAATCACATCATACAGCATTATAGTTATAGACTGGTTAGAGGATCAGGATGTGTGTTGATAATAACCTAGTAATATTGCACTTTTAAAAAAAAAGTGCTATGAACCACATCATTTTTCCTATTTAGTCACCCCTCTGAATCAATGGATAAAGCAGCCTTTTCCAGATTCTTTTCTTTCTTACAAATATCTTCTCTTTCACTGACTTTAAATGTGTCAGCTATGAACAGTATCCTATTTTCTGTACCTATAATAGCATTAATTTCTCTTCTTTTCCTTTGTTCTTCTATAAATGTGAAGCCACCCCACATGTGTTCTTTTTAGGCCATGCTCTAATACAGTGGTTCTCAACCAGGGGTGATTTTGGCCCCCTAGGGGACATTTGGCAATGCCTGAAAATACTTTTGGTTGTCACAACTTGAGTGGGTGGGGCAGTGCTACTGGTATCTAGTCAGCAGAGACAGGGATGCTGCTAAACAATCAAGAAGGCAAAGGATATCCTGCCTCCCCACCCCCATCATCTGGTCCAAAATGTCAGTATTTGAGAAACCATGCTTTTCTATTAGCTACTTGCCCTTAAAATTTTACTCTAGGCCACAACTGCCTCTTGCTACCTTTATTTATATTTGGAATTTCCTAAATAAAAATTATCAACTATGTTGTTTACTTTATAGAGACAGAAAACGCTATAGTTGAGTTTACCTAGAATCTTTTCTCCACAACAGCAGTTCCATTTAACAATGTCTTCAGGTTACATTAATAACATTTATAGGAAAGAGAAAAAAAATTAACGTTTATTGAGCACCTACAACATTCCTGGCACTGTGCTGGATACGGTTTACAATCAACCCTTGAAACCATCCTGAGGAGTAGCTATTATTATTCTCATTTTTCAGATGAAGAACTCAAGGGTCAGAGAAATGTAAAGAACTGGCAAGATTACACAGCTATGAATTAGCATTACCAGAGCTCAAACTCTGATTTAATTTCAAAGCTCATATTCTGTTAAAACACTAACATTTCTCATTTGGGAGAGCAGAACATGCTTAACACACACATAAATGAAAAGAAAGCACCCCAAAACACATCATACCAGTACCAAACTGTGTTCCAGGAACAAGTTATCCAATTGTCTAGCTTTGACACATTTAACTGAGCCCTTATTTCTAAAATGTTTTACCTAGAAAAACAAAATTATGATTGGACTACTTGAAAAATGGCTTATGCTCATGCAATGCTTTGCTGTTTACGGCTTAATGACAATTATACTTTCTAGTCACCCACATTTGCTTGGTTTTTAAAGTGGGTCTCTCCCACTCTGTGGAGGGAAAACGGTGAACTGTGGGTGAGGAGTCAGAGGTAGGAGGGAAACTTACTTTTTACTTTATACCCATCTTTTCAACTGTTTCATAGTATTTTTTATCCTTTCACTCTATTTCACTTTTTCTCCATTTAAAGTATTATTTAAAAAGTAAAGAAGTGGGGAAATAGGAAATAGTGAACTAATATTTCTGCCTAGAATGAGGAAGGAGGAAATGGAGTAAAGGAGCAGCAGAATAGAAACACTCATTTCATAAAGGTTCTAAAAGATTCATAAAATTGGTTGTTCTTCTGGAAGAATAATTTTAGAAAGTTAGAGATGGCACAACAAGAGTGAAAAAACGAAGATGAACTAATTCAACTTATTTCAAAAATAAGGTCATAGCTATGAGGTCATAGCTGAAGTACTCCAATTTTAAGTGTAGATAGAGGAAATTGATATAAAGCTTTAAAAAATACATTTAAGTAGGAAATAGCAAAGAATTTGAAGAATTATCTTTATACATTAGGTATAAGCCTTTACCACAAACTTACATTAAAATACTAACAAACACCCTTTTCCAGACATGCGAGAAAATTATCTTCTCTTTTAGCGTTAGTGCACTTATATCTTCTGACTTTATCGTATAACCCAAAAGTTGCTGGATAGGACGGATTTCTACTATAATACTCTTCTGCTATGTTACTGTATAAAACACTATAATGCACTGAGTTTTATCTCAAGTTTCCCTCTTGTTGCTTTTCTTTCCTCATCACTTCTATCTATCCCCTTGGCCACTCAGGCAACACTAACTGCTTATTCCTTACTGATTTCCCATCTGAATTTCCTTATTTACTTCAGCTCAGTCTTCTAAGATTCAGCTCCAGTAAACCATGGTTTTAGGGCCACTTGATTGGTAATGCAGTTCACAATGGCTTCCTGGTGTCAACAAATGTTAGCTCTTCCAAACGGTAACTGGCATTCTATGATGGCTGCTCTTAAAAACACCTGGCAGTTGAGAGTTCCAGTTTAAGATTTCAGTGTATCAGCCCTTCACAATTTCATCTATTACTTGTATCAAAATAACTGAAATGAAGTTTTGAACCTTACAATATCAACGATAGGACTAAAAACAGGGAGACATTAAGTTAATGACTAAGGTCACAATATATGACCTTCATGTGTATGAATTCTCAGTAGTGAATCTTTCCAGGCCTTTGACAACTAAACTACAATCTCAGGAATATTATATAGTCTAATTACTACACTAAACAAATATACAAATGCCCAGGAGAGGTCAAGCATTAAGTTATTCATCCTGTACTTGCAAGCTCTTAAATAGTACACCTAGAGATTCCCTGTTTTCTAACATCTCAATTAATCCAACCCATCCTTTTATTACAGACATACCTATCAAAACTCTTGTGCTGTATCTCAATATGATCCAACAGCGGCACGTGCCCAGAAAACCCTTGTCCCTCTTTAACACTCTGCTGAAACCATCTCCTCTCTCATTACCAATTAAATATCCCACATTTAGTAAGGCTGGAAGTTTTCCTGGTTTTAGACTAGAAATTATTTACAAATACCCTGTTTAATCCAAACGTAAGACTACTTCTAGGTTACTCTTCCTGATTTGAATGCACCTATGTCATCCTTCACCTTTCATCTCAAAACTGCACTGCCTTTAAGCTCACATCAGGCCCATGGATTATCTGGTAATCTCAAAACGTTATCTAAGCTTTTACAGTCAGTGTTCTTCCTCTGTGACCACAGGAGTCATACCTTCCTCCTCTCCCACATTCACACCTGATCTTTGCCCTCAATACGCACTCTAATTCCTTTCTATACACCAACTAAATTATCCCCCATCTGACTTCCTAAATGGCCTGTACCACAGAATGTCTTCTTTGGAAATATACGATTCTTTACACTTACTGTTATACCAGTTAGCCCTATCTTCAATGCAGGTTCAGCACCACCATTCAATTTATCTGCTCCCAACCTGCTGAGAAATGCTCAAGAAGTTCATAAAAACAAAACAATTGAGTTCCTAATAAACTCACGCTTTCTTCAATTATGCCCTATTGTTCCATAACCTACTACGATTTATCTCGTTATATACTAATCACATATTTACCTCAGCAGGTCCCAAACCTCCTCCACTCCCAAGCATTTAGTTATAACCTCTCCCCTTTGTCGAGAATAAAAGTTAACTCTACCTTAAAATGTTCCTGTAACTACCGATCCCAATCCCTCCTGGTTCTTCCAGGACCTACCTCCCTCCTCTTTGGCAGCAACTCTCCACCTGCTCCGCTAGTCTTTTCCCCTTTCTTCTTTATACCTTTCCCTCAGCAAACTCTGCAACGACTATGTTCTTTTACTTCAAATTACACTTGCTGTCCCCACTGAACGGAAATTGCTCTTTAATGATTTCAATAAAGCTACTGATTGCTTTCTTCGTTCACATTCCTCATGACATCTTCTCCTGATCATTTCACAATACAACATTTACAACCAATTCTCTTTTGCAACCTTCTTTTCCCTTGGCTTTGGTGACTTCACACACACCGTGATTTTCCAGATAGTGGGAAAGAATTTAAGAAGGGGCTTTTAAAAATTATATTTAACACCCCACCAACTTCTCCAAATTCTGATGTTTCAAAATGTAACATCCTTCCATTTGAAAATAACTGCCACAGTGAACCACTGTTACAATCTGCAGTATTTTGTATACTTCAGGGTAAGTTGGGGTGGGAAAGACTGGTACCAACAACTTACTTTATTCTGGTTTTATTCCTCCTCCTCTGGCCACTTGTTTTTTTAAAAAGTGCTTTTATTAAAATTGGATAGGTTAAAAAGGATATCTTTAGAACATGCAGATGAGGTATAAAGAACCACAGAGTAGGTGCTCAATGAATATCTGTTATATGAATAAATTTAAGTCTTTAATCCCAGGAAGAGATTATTGTGCATGGAATCAAGCAGAAATCAAATTTTATTCCCTCCCATATAGAGCCAACGGTCTAAGTATTGTTTACTGAAAAGTCCATCCGTTCTCCAATAATCTACAAAGCAAAGCCAGTTATGTCACACATCGTTTCCATATTACAGGTAGGACTGTTTCTGGACTCTATTCTGGTATATTTGCCAATCCACCCCTGTGCCAAAAGCACATTGTTTTGTTTTGTTTTTTAATTAATTTATTTTTATTTTTAATTTATTTATTTTTGGCTGTGTTGGGTCTTCGTTGCTGCACGCGGGCTTTCTCCAGTTGTGACGAATGGAGGCTACCTTCTTTGCGGTGCACGGGCTTCTCATTGCAGTGGCTTCTCTTGTAGTAGAGCACAGCCTCTAGGCTCACAGGCTTCAGTAGTTTTGGCTCGCGGGCTCCAGAGCGCAGGCTCGGTAGTTGAGGCTCATGGGCTTAGTTGCTCCGCGGCATGTGGAATCTTCCCAGCCCAGGGCTCGAACCTGTGTCCCCTGCATTGGCAGGGGGGGTCTTTACCCCCGCATCACCAGAGAAGCCCACACATTGTTTTAATAACTATAGCTTTATCGTAAGTCTTGATATAAACAAGGCAAATCTTTCCTCCCCCAACACACACATCTTGTTTTTCAGGAGTGTCTTACCTATTAATAAACTTTTATTCCTCAATATAAATTTTAGAAGAAAAATACAACCAAAAAAGTCTTTGGGTATTTTTTAATTGGCACTGAATTGAACTTAAGCCTTCAATAGTTTTATAATTTTCTCTATAAATGTGTTGTATAATTTGTGTTTGTCAGTTACTGAATATTTTTGATGCTACTATAAACAGTATCTTTTAAAAACTGCATTTTCCAACTGTGGTGGGTATCCAGAAATACAGCTGACTTTTGTGTACTGATTTTGTATCCAGCAGCCCTTAAACTATTATTAATCCTGATAGTTTATCTGTAGGCTTTCTTTGGCTTTCTATGTAAATTATATTACCTGTGAATAATAACTATTTGTTTTTTTCCAATACTTCTACCTCTTTTTTCTTGACTTACGCATTAGCTAATAATCAGTAAAAATGTTAAATAGAAGTGATGACAACAGGCTTCCTTGACTTGCTCCTAATCATAAAGAAAATGCTTTCAATTTTTTACCATGAACTATGTTTCCTGTAGTAAATTCATTCTATCATGCTAAAGACATTATCTTTTATTCCTATTTTCTAAGAGCATTTCTAAAAATCAAAAATAAGTGTTTAATTTCAACAAAGGCCTTTGCTGCACTGATATGATCATAGTTTCATCCTCAAATCTGTTAATACAGAATATTAATATATATGCATTTTTAAATTAATATATATGTATTATTTTCCCCTCAAATGAAGCCAGCCTTTAATTCCTGGGATAAATTCAACTGGTCATAATATATTATCTTTTTTATACACTGCTGAATTCAGCTTGTAAAGATTTTGTTTAAGATTTTTACATTCATTTTAAGTTTTGGAATTGTTGTTATGCTACCCTCATAGAAAGGTTTGGTGAGTGTTTCTCATTTTCTACACTCTGGAAGAGTTTATATAAAATTGTTACTATTAATTTGTTTCTTAAATGTTGCTAGAATTTGCCAGTAGAATTCTATGAGCCTGCAGTTTTCTTTATGAAAATATATTTCCAACATTAATTTATTTCATAGTTATGGAACTATTCATGTATTCTAATTCTTAAGTCAGCTATGGTAATTCAAAATTTTCTAAGAGTTTGTGCCATTTAGGTTTTCAAATTTATTGATATACTTATTAATTGTCTTTATTTTTAATGTCTGCAGCATCTGCTATTGCATGTCTTTTATCATTCCTAGTAATACTTATTGGTGGCTTCATTTTTGTCTTGATTGGTTTTACAGAAGTGTCAATTTTATCAGTCTTTTCAAATAATCAACTTTTGGTTTTACTAATTTTCTCTATTATATATTCATTTTCTATATTTCTATTCATTCTCTTGTATATTCTATTTTCTACTAACTTATCTTTATTATTTCCATTCTTTCACTATCTATGGGTTTATTTTTTATTATTTCCATTCTTTCACTATCTATGGGCTTATTTTTTATTTAAAAAATATTTTTTCCAGCTGAAGTTGGATACTTTATCAATTTTCTACCTTTTTTTTAAAAAATAAAAATACTTTAGACTACCAATTTCTCTCCTTTAGAGACCTCACCACTCTCAATACAGTCATCAGCATCTATCATAGTGACAATTACATAAGCTCTCAACAAATATTTGAATGTATAAATCCTAATGGTGGAAGGAGGAAAGTGGAGGAGTAGTTTGGGAAAAAACCCACAAGTGATACACAGCTACACAGGAACAGCCCTGGGGCCTACGCCATCTCACTGAGACTAACTGCTCTAATGAGTCCAACTACTTATGAGCATCTGATAAGGAATCTCCAAAGACTGACCTTTTTCCTGAGATTTAGACCTACAATTTCAACAGTTGGATGAACATTTTTCTGGATTCCTACCACCAACACAAACTCAATATGCCCAAATCAAATGTCATTTTCCCATATATTTGCCCCATCTACAGATTCTAAAGCTATAAAAGATACTATGAATCTCTGAGGAGTCCAGACAAATCTCAGATTCATCTGTTAAGATGTCCTTTTTCTTTTCTCTGTCATCACAAAGTCCTTCCAGCATTCATCTATTTCACCCATTCCACTCCTTTTGTCACTCCCTTATTCTAGGTCTTTGCCAGGATTACTGCAGTCTATAACCAACAGATCTTGCTCCTAGTCTCCCTGATTCCAATTCCTGTTACATGCTACAGTAAGGTAGCCTTAAAACACTGCTGTGCATATCACCCACCTACTCAAAAATTTTTCATGGGATATACAATGGAGAAAAGATAGTCTCTTCAGCAAGCGGTGTTGGGAAAGCTGGACAGCTGCATGTAAATCAATGAAGTTAAAATACTCCCTCACACCATACAAAAAATAAACTCAGAATGGCTTGAAAACTTAGATATAAGACATGACACCATAAAACTCCTAGAAGAGAACATAAGCAAAACATTCTGACATAAATCATAGCAATGTTTTCTAAAGTCAGTCTCCCAAGGCAACAGAAAAGCAAAAATAAACAAATGGGACCTAATCAAACTTATAAGCTTCTGCATACCAAAGGAAACCATAAATAAAATAAAAAGACAACCTACAGACCGGGAGAAAATATTTGCAAATGATGCTACCGACGAGGGCTTAATTTCCAAAATATACAAACAGCTCATACAACTCAATAACAAAAAAAAAACAACCCAATCAAAAAATGGACAGAAGACCTAAATAGACATTTCTCCAAAGACATACAGATGGCCAATAAGCACATGAAAAGATACTTAACATCACTAATTATTAGAGAAATGCAAATCAAAATTACAATGAGGTATCATCTCACACCAGTCAGAATGGCCATCATCAAAAAAGTCTACAAATAATATATATATTTTTTGATGTGGACCAATTTTAAAGTCTTTATTGAATTTGTTACAACATTGCTTCTGTTTTATGTTTTGGTTTTTTGGCTGCGAGGCATGTGGGATCTTAGCTACCCGACCAGGGATTGAACCCACACCCCCTGTATTGGAAAGCAAAGTCTTAACTACTGGACTGCCAAGGAAGTCCCCCCAAAAGTCAACAAATAATGAATGCTGGAGGGGGTATGGAGAAAATGGAACCCTCCTACACTGTTGGTGGCAATGTAAATTGGTGCAGCCACTATGGAGAACAGTATGGAGATTCTTTAAAACACTAAAAACAGAGTTACCATAGGATCCAGCAATTCCACTCCTGGGCATATATTATAGTTTTCTGGAGAAAACTATAATTCAAAGAGATACATGCACCTCAATGTTCACAGCAGCACTATTTACAATAGCCAAGACATGGAAGCAACCTAAATGCCCATGGACAGATGAATGGATAAAGAAAATGCATATATCTACAATGTAATACTACTCAGTCATAAAAAAGAATGCAGTAATGCCATTTGCAGCAACATGGATGGACCAAGAGATTATGGTACTAAGTGAAATAAGTCAGACAGAGGAAAACAAATATCATATGATATCACTTATGTAGAATCTAAAATATGACACAAATGAACTTATTTACAAAACAGAAACATTTCAAATGTCTCACAAAGCACAATGTATACCATTATTGAAGAAAAAATTTTTTGTTTAGTCTGCTGAAAAATTTTACCTAGATTCCTTCACTTATAAGCTGACAAAAATATTCTAGTTAGGCTATTCATAACAAAATGTTGTAATATTTTTATTCTTCATCATTCTTTCTTCTAAGTTGCTTATACAGTCAAAAAGGATTTGAGAAACAAATACTTTTTTTAGGAATAATGAAATTAAATATTACATAAAAACACATTTCCACATGGGTCTTATGGAATTTCTTATTAATTTCTAATTCCACTATATCTTTAGTTTTATGGGAAAATATTTGCTAGCTACAAGAAATATGATCCTCAAACATTTTAATCATACCTGTTTCTGAGCTTCTACTTTCTGCTTTCTGGTTGGATCAATCGCATCTACCATCCATTTGATTGTAAAGTATGTTACTGCACCAAATATTGTCAAACGGAAAATTAAGCCAACAACTTCATTCCGACTCAAGGGACGAGAAAAGGCTTCAGCATGTACCATCTTGATTGTTAACCTTGAAAAACAAACAGAAATGCCACTAGGTAGTAACTAGATTCATTAAAATCTGATAGGTAGCGTAAACTAAGCAAGAAAAACTTCTAGTCAAATTCAACATTACCTACCTTAAAAAAGTGTTTTATTTAAAGAGAAATGGATTTTTAAATGTTAAGTAAATAAAACGTAAATAAACACATTTTAATCTCCTCTTGGAAACTGAGGTTTATTTATCAGAATTTTTAATAAACTTTTCTAAAAGCTCATATAATTTAAGTAGAGAACAATTCTATTTGAAAAATGCAGTAAACATCTTAAAGCATTTACTGTGTTAATCAGCTTTTAAATAATTATGTCAGGGAGCCTAGAAAAATAATGACTATAACACTTATCCAACTGAAAAAAGGCAGCCCAACAATGAAATACTTTACTAATGTGACGGTATACCAGGTAATTTTTGAGTGAAATTCAAACTGTGAACAGACTCACTTTTCTCTCATACTTACTTTTAAAGGCTTCTAAGGCCTGATGAAGTGTATACATGCTATTTTCTCAACTAACAAGTGACATGAAATTTTTGGAGCCATCTTATTCTTTCCAACAACTTAGCTAAATATGAAACAACAGAATCTTCAAAATGTTTGACCCACAACTATACAGCTCTCACTCAAGATAAAGAGGAAAAAAGGACACAACATGTCTACTTTTACACATATGCCTAAGCAGTTACATCAACCACAGCCTGGCTTATACGAGGCATGCACACCTGTATCAAAGACAATGACCACCCAGTAGAGTAAGCTTTTTATGGATGATGTGACTATCACATTTGAGAGAGAGAATCTCAGCCTCAAATAATGCCATTATACTCTCGCAGCATAGGAGTGTGCTGAGTGCTATGTTACTCAGTGGGGAAAAAAGTATATTTTGCATTCATGTGAAAAGGAATAAAACAAAATTTGTACAGATGGCTCAGAAACAGGTGAAAATTAGGTACTTCATAGACTAATATCTATGGTCGTTCCAGCTGTAAAATTATTGTTTCTATTCTCACTAGCATTATTCAGTTAAAGATTCTCTTCAATCATTCCAACAGAATTGCTGCCAGAATTTTGGACGATTTCCAAAAGAAAAGTCAAGGATTCCAACCTTTTGCATTACTGGGAGACATTCACTTCACAATAATACATTATTTAATTTAAACTTAACAACTAAATAACTGAAAGCCTTCATTTTGGATAAAGAAATTTTGGCCTAGGGATGTTAAATAATTCAATTCATACAATAAAACACTTACTGATCATGTATATAGAAAGCCTACTATATACTGGGTATACAGTAATAGCTAAGACACAATTACTTTACTCAAGGAATGCATAGTACAGTTTATTATCTTATTAAAAATGAAGCTAGAACAACCAACCACCCCACCAACAAAAAAATGAAGCTAGAAAGAAGTCACTTGGTTAAAATCTTTCATATAACAAATCAAATTGTGCTTTCTTCCATCAGCATGGATTCCTAAAGATGGGTTAACAATACTCTCCCTCTCGGAAATGAAAAATTGTCTTCCCTAGCCTTTATTCCAACACAGCAAATTTGAAAATGCAGTTGTTATACGTGGTATCATTATGCAGGAGTAATACTCACAGATGAGAAGAAACCAACAGGCAAAATAAAGATTTATTAACTTAAACTAGTCATATTCGAATAAAATGTTTTCATTTATTTAAAGTTTGAGTGAGTAGCGATAAAACTGCCACCTACTGGATGTTCACTGAACTACATGAACTACGACTGCTATCAGTACCTCCCAGTCATCAAGAGAACAATTTTCAGATCTAGTAAAAAAATCAAGACGCAAAACCTGTTATAATTGAATTATTAACCGCAATACAGTACTCTGGACCTATAGCCACTTCTAAAACAGTCATCCTTCTTTTAAAATGGCTTCAAAATCCTGAAATGAAACTGAAACTTCTCCTTGTAGGTTGTAACTGTATACACTTTATTATACACTCATTTATCATTGATATGACACAGATATGCCTGCAATGTAAGGCCGTTACGGTAACAATACCATTACAGCAGAATATATAATAAAAGTTGCACATGCATACAACAGTAGGGACTGTATTTCAATTCTGTATAAACATCAGAATCAACAAATATACACATAAACATAGATGGTGCCATGTACAAGAAATATGGCAAAACACTGTAATTCAGAGTTATCCGTTAGGCAAATATGATACCAGATAGTTTCATTTTAAAGAGTTCTCCATTTCAGGGTAGAAAAATTAAAAATCGTACCACCTCGTCAATGAGCAGTTTACCGACAGGTTAAGGACCAAGAGTAGAGTATTCCTACCATAGTATTTCTCTAATTCACCGCAGTGTTTTACAAACTTTTTCTCAACCCCAGAAGTCCCAGTTTCGAAGACATCAAGGCCCTATGAACACAGCCTGTGACAATGAAAGCCTGCCAACCTTCACATAAAGGACAGGTTATTATTAACACCACCATCCTCTGCGAAAGCGTGCCTAGGCTTGAAGAACCTCCTTCACTTTTGCACTAGGTGGTAGCAGTGCCTGTGCGACAATCAGATCCGCTTCATTCTGTCCGCCTTTGCCTAGGACCCCGGTTCTGAGGTCGCCCGGAATGACCTCAAGCCCCCGCAGCGACCGGGCTGCCTACAGAGATTCCCTGGAAATGGCCTAACTCTTGGGGGCAGCGCTAACGGAGACCTAAGGGCCTAGGCCGGGCCGAAAGCCAAGGCGGAGCCCGGGACGCCCTTGGAGGTTAATCCGCTGGATACGAAGGGCTGCGAGAAGCTGAGGGGCGGCAATGAGGTGGGACATGGGAGGACGGCGGGGTGACCTTTCCCACTCGGCTCCCCGGACCCGAGCCAGTCCCTAAAGGATCTCTGCGGGACCCTTCGCCAGTCCCACGAAGCCCCGCGGAAACCCGCTACTCACCCCCCCAGCAGAACAGCGGCCGCAAGAGGCCCTAGCAGCCTCATACAGGAAGGAAACGCCGCCTGGGAAAGAACTCTTCCGGGGGGAGTCGCGGCCCGCCCCCTCGCAAGGAGCATGCGCCACCGCGGCCGAGGGCCTGGAGGGGCGCGTTTCCGGGTTTTAGAAGTGGTGCGGGGGTACTCGGCGGGAGCGAGGTCACGCTCCAGATTCCTAACCTGCTATCTGTTGGGCGGAACCTCTGAGTTTAGCTGAGTCTCGGAGATGGAATTGGGGCAGGCGCTTGTCACATAAAGTCCGTGCCCTGCTCGCGGGCTCCTGTCGCAACACTGACAAATCCGGGAGCCTTCGTGAGAGTGCAAAGTGTGTTCTGTTTTCCCCGCAAAGAAGTTCTTCCTTCCCTTCTGCTTGATCCTTACCTACGCCCTTCGCCCGCCCCTCCAACCCCGGCTGCAAACCCGCACGCTGCTGTTCTGTCGTTTAGCCAAAGCTCTGACGCGCATTGCCAACCCCCCTCCCCTCACCATCTGTCTTTCAGTTTTTAGGGTGAGCTCTCCCTCCTCTCCCTTGTCTGCTCCAACGAACACCTGGGGGTGGCGCCTGAAAATCTTTCTGCGGAACGATTCTGCAGCCTACCGGGCAGGCTTGGTAGTAGGGACAAAAGAGGGCATCTGGTAACAGGTTTTGCACTTCGGTGACTTCCCTTTTTCTTTTACCCCTTTCTTTCCCTTTGCAGAATGAGAGATGAGGCACGAGAGGTCCCCAGGGAGCAAATCTGAAAGCCAGCGCCTCCTGAGCACAGGCTGCCAGGGGCGAGACGACATTAGACATTGTCCCCAGATATAAGAAGCATCACTTCCTTCAGACAGAGGTGGTGAGACTATGAAGTAATGGGACAGTTCCTCTTACTACGCTCCTCGGGAAGGCAGTTTGTGCCTCTCTGCTTTAGGCATCATCCTTGATGGCTAAAATTCTGCAGCCTGATTGTTGAATGTAGTGAATGCTACCCTTGCTACAAGCTTGTGATAACTGTAGTGATGATAATAGCTAGTTTACTGAATGTCTACTTGGTGTCAGGCAATATGCTTCTTTGTGCTTCACATCCATAACCTGAATTCCTCAAAAAACCCAATCCTCTAAAATAGCCATTATTTTCTCTTTATTTATTACTTATAGATGAGCAAAATTTAAAGCTTAGAGTGATAAACTTTTTTACGTTCATGCACCTAAGAAGTGGCAAAATTTCATTGGGACCTAGATCTGATTCAAATCCTACACTTTACATTCTCTCTTTGAAATAGTAAATGGATAGCAGTTAAATTTTAAAATCTAGGTGAAAGAGGTAAGACCATGAAATGACAAAATCGTAAGGCTTTAAAGGATAAGGATGGGATGACAGGAATGCACGAATGTTTAAAAACTGTGATTGGGTTTATTGACAAGAATCAGAATGGAATCTAATACGGTAAGTGGTTCTTGTTTTGCATCCATGCCTTTTCGTCTATTTTTGTGTTTCTACAACCATAAAATTCTAAAAACACTGATATGAAGCTAGGTTTGGGAGTGCTAGTCTGATTATTCATCTCAGAATGATTATGAGACGAGGATAATATTTACAAGTAAACACAAGCCGTGTGGTTCAATAGTCTTAGAAGAGACTCTCCACTGGGTCCCAGTGATTATCCTCAATCTTGAGGCATTGCTTTGGGATGCTCGTGGGACTATGCCTTGACAGAGCTAAAAGGTAGAGGTTATTGAAGGAAAGAACTTTAGGTTTTGTGGCTCGTGAGGATAATCATACCCACTGGTAAGGAAAATGAGCTGAGAAACTCAAGATGGTAATGGATTTCCATCATCCACTGAGTGAAACTGGGTCAACTAAGAGCCTCACCTGCTTTTCTCTAAGGGCCAGGATAACCAACCTACCCAGTTTGTCTGACATTAAGGGGATTTCTAGGACATAGGACTTCAAATGCTAATACAGGGAACGTCTCAGGCAAGCCATGAGTAGTTGGTCACCCTACTAGGGACATCCTAAATGAACTCTAGAATCAGGTGGAGCTCTCAGTATGGTTGCATCTAGACTCAATTCATCTGCTTAATAGCTGCGGTATGATTGCACAGGAAAGGAAATTGTGGATAAAGTAATCAAGACTGACCATAAAGAGTCTACATGCCCCCAAATAAATATTGCTGCTCATTCCTTTTCCAGTGGTTTGGCTGTAAACTTTTTGGACCTAATTTTCATTTAGCAAATCCTTAGGAAGCCTCCTATGTCTGGGCCCTAAGACATCAAATGACTGCCTTCCCATATACCATGCACATTCATTTCCAGCAATCACTAAATCAGCTAGATTCTTCCAGAATAGAGCTGAGTGAACATATGCTTTTCATCCCAGGATAGCTTTATATAATCCCTGGCAGCACAAAACACCATATTTGGCCCACAGTAGGGGCTCAATAAATAATTCATTATGTGTAATATTAATCAGGAAATTATTACAACAGATTTTTGGTAGACCTTCTGAGCCTTCCCTCCGTGATGTCAGAATCAAGATATTAAAAATAGTTATATTTACTGTAGAAAGTTTTTGCTTGTTTTTAAACTAATGCCTCTTAAGGCAGTTAATGGCAGTTCTCTTTTCAGCAAAGTGAATTTTCCTTTGTTTTTGTTAGTTGGATGGAGGTGTGATAAGTTTGCTCTGTAGCCAAAGTCAATTATTGCACTGGACCCTTGAAGGGGAAAGGATGCCTTAGATTAGGAGCTGTAGAATTTCACTGTGAGTCTATTCACTTGGACAATTTGGCAAAATGCAGGTTCCCAGGTCCCAGCATTAAAGGCTCCCATTTAACTGCTCTAGGTTTTGGCCCAGGTATTTGCATTTTGAATAAGCATCTGAGATGATTTGGATATAGGTAGTTTGGGACCACACTTTGACAAACTCTGCCCTAGTCAGTGATAATTTTAGATGTATTTTTGCAAAAATCTCTTCTGCCCCAGCCCCAAAAGCCTATCTGGCTAGCTGAACCATTAAGCCAGCTGGGATACATCAAGAAATCAAGGCAAGGAAGCCTCATGACAAGATTCAGAATAAAATGTCTTTGGAAGGGAAAACAAATTTGAAATCTTTGTATAAATAAACATGGTAAACCTGACCCTTTTAATTGCGCATGAGAAATGATTCACTTGACAGTGATTTAGAAAGAGCAGAACTTCAACAAATAGATAAAATTATATAGCAGTAATTTCGCCAGTATGAGTCACTTGGTAACCTTGCTTCTTTTAAAAATATTTCATTGGAAAAAAATAATCGTATTATTTTGATAAGTTAAATAATAGAATGGATGGGGAAAGAAAAGCAAGAATATGAAGCTGTATCTAAAGCCATGAAAGCGGGCTTCCCTGTAGCGCAGTGGTTGAGAATCTGCCTGCCAATGCAGGGGACACGGGTTCAAGCCCTGGTCTGGGAAGATCCCACATGCCACAGAGCAACTAGGCCCGTGAGCCACAACTACTGAGCCTGCGCGTCTGGAGCCTGTGCTCCGCAACGAGAGAGGCCACGATAGTAAGAGACCCGCGCACCGCGATGAAGAGTGGCCCCTGCTTGCCACAACTAGAGAAAGCCCTCGCACAGAAACGAAGACCCAGCACAGCCAAAAATAAATAAATAAATAAAATTTAAAGCCATGAAAGCACTGAGAAAGGCTAAGATTAGGTGCTTGAAGCTCCAGCAGGAAGAGTAAGATGGAATCAAGGCAAAAATAATGGAAAATTAAAATTTCAACAGATTGGAAGGAGTGGAAAGATGAATTGATAGCTTCATTCTATAAAAAGCACAAGAGCTAAAAAGACTCAACAGCAAAGTTCAAAGAACATGTTGTAAATCTACTTTTCATGCTTTTATGTTTTTAAACTTTGTACATAATTAAAAATGAGTATATATAGAAATTAGTGTATATGTAATTTTCTTATATTATCAGGGTAGCACTAATCCACAAACAGTCTTACATTGCTTCATAATCCTTTTTCTCAAGCACTACTGCCAGTTGTACATTTTTTACAGTTTATGCTACCAAGAAATATTTTCTAGAACTTAGATATTTCTTTTACATCTGCAATATTTTGTTGTTTAGCTTTAATACAGTACTGAAAATAGACTGTTCAGGTGATACTATCTGTGGAAAGTCAGGATGGATCAAACCAGGGAATTGCTTGGGAAGATGTCTAACCTTACTGTAATCTTACGTTAGCAAGAGCTTTAAGGCATAAATGAAAGAGTAAGCTCCCTAGGATTTGTTTGGGCCCTTCCTAAATGCCCTTCCATATGATTTTCTTTTTAATGGGAGAGGAGTTGGGAGAGATTGGGTAAGAATAACAAAGATATGAATTCATCAGTCAAAATAGAAGAAACAGTAGTTGAAACATTAATTCTCAATTCCTGTAACAGCAGATTGATAGATGAAGCATAAAACAAGACCAGATGCTGTGGTTTCCAGGATGCACTCGGCTTCCCATCCTTTATAACCTGGAGCATTTTTTGCCGTAAGTAGGTCATTTGCTTGCTCTCATTTACCTGATTCTAGGAAAATGCCCTTGAAAGTATTTGGAAAATAATACTTTTTGTTAAGCTTGTGCTTAACATTTTAAAAGTTAAGATTGAATGAAACCTCCCCCACCCCCTTTTCTCTATTAGCCAGAATAACTTGTAACCTTGTAGCATAAGTGAAACTAAAATGGACAAGAAGAATTCAAGATGTTTTATTTTCTAAGGACTAAAATTTGTGTCCATAGCACTGGCATAGTACTCATCTCACAGAATTATAATTGGGGTTTAAGTTTCTGTATTTATTATTTAATATCTGTATTTAATATTCTGTATTCTGTATTTAAGTTTCTGTATCTATCAGATGTGCAGTTCTTGAAAAAAGAGGATGCCTAGGACATAGGAGGGGCTTAACAAATGTTTTAATTAACTGATTCCCCCCACCAATCTGACATATTGAATGAAGCTTTTCAGGCACCACTCTAATAGATTTACGGTGACCAGGGAGAGAAAAAGAGGAAAGAAAGGCAAATGGTCCAAAGATAAGGACATGTGCAATCAAACCATTTTACTGA